ATAATGTCCTTGAATCGCATCACCCTCGGCGCTATCCGAGACCGCGGGAGTTGCTGAGGACTGCGATGCGGGGTGCACCCCGGCGCAAAGATGTGTGCATCCCTGTAAGGAACCTTTGCCATCCAATCCTCAACCACGCGGCTCACAGACGCATCCTCCACGACAAAAAAGTAGCGCGCAGAACTACTCATAATCGGCTGCCGCGGCGTCATGAGGTCCTCGAGCAGCGTCACGCCGTGCTCTATGAGGTCATGGGGACGCAGTGAGCAGTTTAGCACAGCCGCAGCATGGGCATCGCAGTAAAAAACTTTGGACAGTCCATGAACGACGTCAAGCATGTGATGGAATATATAATCCCGCACACAACCTCAAACGCCATTGCTGGGCTCACACAGCTGCCCGCTTCCGTCGGCCTTGCTCGCACCAACCCGCCCCGCATACCATGTCAAGTAGAAGTCACACAGACAATGTGCTTGGATATGCGTGTGTGTGCCTTGTGTGCGCACATTTGACTCGCATCGTTCTGTGTGTATGTGCGTCTCAGAAAATCTAACAAGCACACAAGCAATGCCATACGACCATACGGTGGCCCCACATCGGCAACCAACAAAAGAAGAGCAGTGCTCATCGGAAGTAACACCAATTTCAAACACAATGTCAGACGGAGTGGGCACAGCACATGCATATGGAGAACGACATCCATTGAAATGGATGTTTTTCTATTGGGCTTCCAGTTCTGGGTGCAGGCCGCGCAGGAGGAAGCGCAGTCGCCTCGCAGCGCAACGCCGACCACACCGCAAATCGATAGAGTGTTGCCACGGCGGCGGCAGAGGCAAACAGAAGAAGCAGCGGACAGGGACAAGCAGCAGCAGCAGTGTCATCACCGGGAGTCGGGGACGGGCCTGCTCGCCGTCCGTCTCGCTGCTTCGATCCTTGCCGCCGAGAGAAGATTCTCGCGGTCTGTCGGAGCATCCTGGCCGGATCCACTTCTCCTCTGTCAACGGATGCTTCTGGGGAACAGCCGTGTCGACATCCTTTGGTGGTGTGCCGCGACCGGTCTCAATGCTCTCCGTAACGGGGACGGATGCCCGTAGCAAAGCTTGTTCAGTAGATGCCGGTGAAACCGTCCTGCTCCACACCCTCTCTCCTCGCCGTCCCACGGAACCACTGGAAGTAGGCTGCCGCTGGTGGCGGATATCGTGCACACCTCCGCGTGATCACGGCAAATGACGTTTCCCTCATCGTACGGTCGAGTGGCTCACGCAATCGTCGCCCCGTCCGTGCGTGGAACCCAACAAACGCCGCTCTTTTCAGTCACTCTCAGACGCACCCGCATGCCGAGGCACCTCAATGCCGCATGCATGGCAGCACCGAGATGTGTCTCCTCCGGGTCCCTCGCATCTGTTGTGTTGGTGGGAAGCGTGTCCAGACACCACGAAGAGGGCTTGTCCCCAGGCACCGCAGACAAATATTCTCCCCTCCAAATAACAGCAGCAGCATCCCTCACATCCAGTGCGGGATCAGTGATGGGGCAACTGTCCATCGGGCGTTTTGCTGACCTTTCATGGATAATCCGTCTGCACGGCAACCACTGGAATACCGATCCGACGCGCAGTTTTTGACGGAAACACCCACTTCAAGGAACATTTGGGAATATTCACTCATGTTCAGTGCGGATCAATTCCTCTGCAGCAGCCCGAATTCCTGCCGCAACGCATCGGCTCCGCCATCTATCAGTTCACCCTCATGCAGCCCAGTTCAGCCGATGCAGCCAGCAACAGCTCCGTGCAGCAGCCGGCGCCCCCCAATCGGTGACATCCACTCATCCTTCGCGTGGCACCGCCACCAGTGCGACTCCAGCGTCCTCCCGTCCCCATCGTCATCCTGCAGTTCCATGCCATCAATGTCGTCGCAGTCGTGGTGCTCCCTCGCTGCCATCGCGGCATTCGTCGAGTGCACTACCACCAACAGCGCCCTGCCACGCACTGCGCCATGTCAGAATTGGCAACACCAGTGGAAGGATGCTCAGCAGGCACAGTGAACCGACTGCAAACGCTGCCCGTGGCGAGTGACGGCACAATCAACGGACCCTCCAGTGGCTGCACGAGCAGACGATCCGCATGCAGTTTGACAGCAGCAGGGACAACTTCATCCTCGAGAACGTCCCCGTGTGCAGAGAACAGGACGTCATCCTCACAGTGGCAATTTTCAGTCAACAAATTCATTGTGTAATACCGCTCTGAAATACAATATTTCCCGGTATCATCCATGTCCCTTGTGGATACGTTGATGCGGATGGTCGCCCACAAATTCCTCCCGATGACGGTGTATGTCTGCAGCTCACCCTCTGCTCCAAAAAGATCACGTCTCTCACAACAACTTGGATCAAATTCGCGCCGTCGGCACGCATCACATAGCCAAAGAATCAAGAGTACGTCAAAGTGAAAGCAAAGCACCCGCTGGCAATCACACCAAAAACTTCATCACATGCAGCAGCACCAGCGTCTCAGTCTACTGTGGGGTGTAGAGCAAGTAAGCCATTGATGTGGGTGTTAGGCAAATATTTCGTGGCTTGCTAAACCAACATAGGCTGATTGCGTGGGAAGAAACAACAAAAAACACAAAAGAGAAAAGTCATCCAACCGCAATTTAAGCGATCCACCAATCAATGAAATTGCAGTGGGTTCACTCAACCACAAAACAAGTAAAACAGCACAAAAAAAGAGGCCGAAGCGTGGGACGACCAGCGCACACACACTCTCATTACTCCCGTAAAGCAAAACACACACACAGAGGGAGAGAGAGAGAGGTCGCCCACTCAATGCAATAAAAACAAAACAGAAACAGTTACGGTGCTCCGTCCATGCAGCCAGGCAGGACGGCAGCGGTGCGTGTCGTGCAAAAGAGAGCACCAACGGGCCTGCATGGGTGTGCATGCATATATACAATGGGCACATTATGTGTGTGCCTCGTGGGGTGAGGTGAGGGCGAGAGTCCATGCAAGGGGACACACACACACAGAGAGAGAAGGAAGAGTGTGTGTGCGGGCGGTGCACGGCTCTCTCTCACTCACTCTCACGCGGCCACCACCGCAGCCGCAGCCGCACACGCAACAACAAGAAGAAGATGCAAAAGAGGGGAGGTGGCGTGGGAGACCGCGGTGCTGCCGTCACTGTCGCCATTCGTCGCCGTTGTAGTTTTCGTGGCTGTGGCTTCGACTGGCGTTTCCTTCGGATTGGCTTCTTTATTTTCATTTTGTTTTTCGTCTCGTGTCCCTGCAGCATCGGCTGCTGGATCACTGTTTGGCATGTCCTCTTCAGTGCTATTGTCGGCTTCATTATTGGCGGCATCACCGTTTGCCGTGGGTGATGGTGGTCCTGATTCTCCATGGTCGGCAGGTGGTGCATTCTGTTGATTGGCTGCGATGGTGGCAACGCTCTTTGTTTGTGAGTTGTTGTTTGAGTCTTTTTCGCTTTGGACTTATTCTGGCTGTTTCATGTCCTCTAAAGCCTCAGCGCTGGACTGTCCATTCAGTTCTGTTGTTGTTGTTTGTACTTCTGTGTGTTTGGCCGGATTTTCACTTATATCTGTGAGCGCCTTATCATTTCTATTTCCGTTGTCTTCTTCTTTTTTCTCCAGTTCTTCCGCCTCTCCTTCACGACTGTCAGATTCATCGCGAAGATCTTTTTGCTCTTGCGGCGTGTCATCGAGGGCTTCATTACTCTCGGAATTTGCTCTCGAAGAGGGTCGCTTGACACCCTCATTGCCAGAGCTGCCAGATGAAGATGAAGACAATTGATCAGCTCTTTGGTGTTGGGGCCCAGTTGCCTTACCGTCCTTGTGGTCCATCGTATCTGCTACTTCTTCACCACTTGTATCCACCACTTCTAATTTCCTAACCTGTCCTCCTGTACCTGAGCCTCCAGACCCCAGTGGTGCCGCTTCTGGTTCACCTGCGACACCATCTCCTTTTGAACCAGGCGCTCCACTGGACTGCTTATTATTAGGTAATGATACCTTCGACTTATCCTGAGGCGGGGCTGTATCACTCAATCCTTCTTCTCCAGCTTCCGCAGCCTCAACCGCCTTTATTAATGCCATTCGAGTGGATAACAGCCCGCAGTCCGCCTTCAGAGACACGCCGTCATCTCCACCATTACTCGTGTGCCTCAAACCGTTCCCTCCACCCTCACTGCAGTAATCGTCCATCGCGTGTCCAAAAACAGCACCCCACCACAGCACGCAGAGGGCACACACCAGCAGCACACGGCCAGTCATCATCATAGCCATCACTCCTGTCAATTGCGTGTAGCCTTCAGCACAAACTAACTCCCCGTCAAAGCAGAGTGAAAGCAAAAGGAGAGACATGTCACACAACAGCCACGCCACAGTCACAAACGGCAGCAGCCCAAACAAAAAATATTCACATTTCATTGCGGCATCCGGCCTTTTCGTCCGCTCCTCCATTCGTGCAGTTCGTGGGACGCACAGCAATGAGGCCGGCACCGCGTGTGGGCAAAAACAACAAAACAAGAGGAGAAACACGTCACCCATGACAGTGTGCAGCAGCCGACCATTAAATAAAGGAACAGCAAGGATGCTTATCATTCCAGGGAGGCAACAAAGCCAACAGTAAAATGTAAATAATAAAAGAAAACAAGCAGGGAACGCGGCACATGTTCTTCGTGAGGAGTCGCAATGCCACACTCTTCGGCTCACAATACCGCCACAACTCCACACAATCCCAGAAGAAGCAGCAACGCCCAATACACGCACACACGCACAGTGCTGCCAACAGTTAACTCTCGCAGTGTCAATTTCGCGTCGTTGAGCGGGGCAAAGCTGTCGTCGTGTAGACTCACACCGTTTACGGAAAACTGCGCGGTGAATTCTCGTAATTGAGGCTCACTTGTCCAGAGGCATTGCGTTGAGTCAATCCGCCCGCATCACCCTCACCAAAAAATCCACTGCCTGCAACGCCATTTTCTGAAGAAAGGAGTTTAGTGTCCAGTGGCGCTGCGCTCACTCACCTCGTCCGTGTTACCCGCAGCAACGTGTTCCCTGCCGCCATAAGTGACAGACATGATCCCGGATGCATTCGACGCCACTAATATTCTCGGACCGTTGGCAAAGGAAGGCCTCTTCTTGGATGCATTCGGGACCATCACTTCGTTCGGATTGCTGGCAAACTCAGGTCTCGTCTCGGACGTGTTGGTCGCCGTGTTGGATGCGGGACTCCGATCGACGGTGTTGGGTCCGTCAGCCGCCGCAGACCGTCGCCAATCCTCGTGTTGACGTGACGGCTCAGCATTAACTTGCGGCGCAGTTGTCCCACCAGATTTTGTGTCGTCCTTCCCTTCACGGGGTGGCGGCAACCGACAGATGCCCGTCCGGTCAGCATCGTCGCTCCGTGCAGGCGGATGGATGGTTCCATCGGGGGAAAATTGACGCCACCACAATTCATAAGGGCCGGCGTATTTATGCGTCGTCACATTCATCGTGAATGCAACGGTGGCCCCTTCCTCTTCCGCTGCACAGCTGGCGGCACAGTTGCTACATGTGTGCACCGCATTGGCCACATGGCACACAGCACCCAGTTCACCATTCCTGCTGTGCATGCGCACATCAAAGCCACTGAAAGTGTAATTCTCATACTCAGCCTCAGCAATGGCAGCAGAACACTTCTTCCACGCCCACACACACACACGCAATAGCTCAGGCTGCCGTCACTCGGAGCACACGACACATCCACCGGCACAACCACCGCATCCGCATCACCAGATACATCTCCAGCACTCCCAGCAGCCGTCACACACACGGACGAGCAGCAGCAGCACAAGAGCGCAAGGACCAACACGGCGCCGCACCGTCACCATCGTCACCATCGCAGTCATTGTCACGCGTAGTGGAGTCGCTGGAGTCAGTCAGCTGATCGGTGAGGCAGAAGAAAAAGAATGCAACAAGAGAGAGAGGGACGGAGCACAGCGGATACAGCGGGAGAGCAGACAACATGCGGAGTGGGCAGCAGACCCAGCCGCACAGTTCACACACCACGAGACGGCATCCATGCAAGGAAGGCACACAACGCCAGCAGCCACCCACCATGCAGGAGGACAACACATCCACCACCATCTCCCCCAGCTCATCTCCACACCCAAAGGGAAACAGCAAAAACCCGCGGCCACCACACAACGCACACGGAGCGAGCACCCACCACACCAGCCACATGCGGAAGCGAACCCTCATCCATTAGCGACGCGGCAACAAAATTTCCAGCCATCCCGCCCTCAATGGGACACGGAGCCCAACTCAGCGCAGTCACACGCGGTGCATCACACCCGCAGGAAAAGGAGACTCGGGCTGCGCACTCCCTCCCCCTCACTTCTCCTCATGGCCACGGAAGAAGACAACAGCCGCCACACGCAACTGCCAGCATGCACTGCAAAAGGAGCATTCATATCCACTGCAATGTGCATCTTGTGGTTGTGTGGTTGTGTGTGCCTGCAGAAACACAAAACAAAACAAAAAAAAAACAGCGACCAGAGTATGTGGAGAGACGCACAAAAATGTACAGCGGAGGTGCATGGCGGAAACAACAAGAAGAAGACCACTCAAACTCATGACTGCACTGCAGCCCAAGCAATGGCAATCCACACAAGATTTATTTAAACCCAAAAAAAAAAAAAAACTTTCCCCTTCGTCTTAAATAAACCCCATCACACAAAATAATTATAAATAAAAAAAAGAAATCGTCCATTACTGTTCCACACAAAATTTTAAAAATCGCCTGGCTGCCGTGTGGCCACAGCAAACTGTCTGCATTTATTTTGCCCGCAAAAGAAAATTAAAAGATATTTAAATGTCTTTCAACCGTCTGACCCTCCGCGTGTCCGCACATCGTTTATATTTCATGCGGTCATCTGCGTGTTGCTGCTCCCCTCAGCCCTCTCATCGGCGCGCGAGTGCGGCCCGCAGAGCACAGTCACTCGTGTGTGTGGAGACTGAGAGAAGCACGCAGACATTACGGGAGTCGCGTCACTCCATCGGGAGAGTGAGCGCAGCAAAAAAAAAATCGTCAGGGGGGAAAAGAAATGATCACGAGGCCGACACCAAAGGGACTGCCGGCGCAAGAAATGCACACGCAAAGCAAAAGAAAATTACTTTAAAGAGAAACACGGCGGCAGGGTGTGGCTGTGTGTGTGGCGCTGCGGGTGTCTGCCAGCCCTGACCGCATAGAAAACAAAACAAGAGGGAATAAATGTGTGCGCCGCCCCACATGCCCTCGTCGCACGCCCACACGTCACGGCCCCTCCTCATGCGTGCAGCAGGCGAGGCGCACAGGGCCGTCGCCATGAGCGTGTCGGTGGGTGTGCGAGTGGAGCAGTTGGGCGGGAAACACACGGCACCCCTCACAGGAAGAGTGCAGCAACAAACAATTAAAGAGGGAAGAGTAGAAAAGAAAAAAGCGTCCACAGTGATTGCCCCAAAAGCAAAAAGAAAGATGAGGGGTCAGTAATATAGATAAACGCTCATAGAGGAAGCAAATTAAAAAAAGAAAATTAAAAAAATTAAATTTAGAAGAAAAAAAAAAAAAAAAAACATTTACGATGCTCCGCCCATGCGGCCAGGCAGGACGGCAGCGGTGCGTGTCGTGCGAAAGAGAGCACCAACGGGCCTGCATGGGTGTGCATGCATATATACAATGGGCACATTATGTGTGTGCCTCGTGGGGTGAGGTGAGGGCGAGAGTCCATGCAAGGGGACACACACACAGAGAGAGAAGGAAGAGTGTGTGTGCGGGCGGTGCACGGCTCTCTCTCCCTCACTCTCACGCGGCCACCACCGCAGCAGCAGCCGCACACGCAACAACAAGAAGAAGGGGCAAAAGAGGGGAGGTGGCGTGGGAGACCGCGGTGCTGCCGTCACTGTCGCCTGTATTTGCGGTGGCATTTGTACGAAGGGCGTTTTTATCTTTCGCGGATTCTTCGCCACTTTCCGCGGGGTGTTCATGCTGTTGTTGTTGGACTTGTGTTTCATCACTTTGCTGCTGCTTTTCTTCTTCTTCCTCCTCTTCTTCTTCCCGTCCTTTGTGTTCAGTACCGGATGTCGTTCCTGCCGGTCCTTCGGGTAGCGAGGAGTTGTGGGCCGCTGCTGCAGCAGGCGTCTGATTTCCTGTTGAAGATTCTCCCGTTGTGTTAGATGGATTAGTGCCTGAGGATCCCGCCGTACCACCACTGCTGCCAGCTGAAGAATCAACACCAGGAGGACCAGCAGTAACAGCAGGAGAAACAGCAGAAGGAGAAGCAGCAGGAGCAGATGAACCAGCAGAACCGGCTCCTTCACCAGCAGCAGAACCACCACCAGGAGCCCCGGCAGCGCCAGCACCACCAGGACCAGGTCCACCAGCAGAGCCAGTAGAAGAACCAGCAGTAGAAGCACCAGCGTCGGAAGTCTTACTTGAATTCGAATTGTTCTGCATTACAAGAGCATCATTTCCTCCATCCGAGGCTTCGACGGCAGTAATGGGCAGTACTGACCGCAAAGGCACCGTAATCGCCGTTTTATTACATCCGTCAGGCATGTGGGATCCATTCTCACCCAACACTCCCGACGCCATGCAGCCACCCAGTGCGTTGGTGTCAACGTCCCTCGCATAAACACCGCCGGCAACGCACCACAGCACGCAGAGGGCACACACCAGCAGCACACGGCCGGTCATCATCATCGCCATCACTCCTGTCACTTGCGTGTAGCCTTCAGCACAAACTAACAACACGTCAACGCAGAGTGAAAGCAACAAAAGACACGGCACAGTAAAATACACCAGCAGCAGCAGCACGCATTTCATGAGAAATATTGAACCAATGAAAGTGAAAAAAGACACAATGCGCTGCAAGTAAAGAAAAGCACAGAAAACAAGGAAAAACAAAAGTGAACAGGCAGCAATAAAGTAAAACAGTAAAAACACACACAAAAAAGAGCTGCACAGTATGGCTCCAGCGCGCACGCCTCTATCCTCAACAGTGTGTCCACGCAAACAGTTGTGTGCGTGTCGTGCGTATGCGTGTGTTTGGGATGCGTCCAACGTGACGGATGTGGCGCACAGAACGGAGCACACAGCAGGGCAGCGAAAGCAAAGGAAGCAAAAAACACAATCATCATAATTGCTCTTACTTTATACATCGGACCACAGTGGACACACACATGTCACCGCCGTTGAGTGCTGGCACGCACAGCCCGCATGCACCTCTTTACCCCACAGTGGTGCACGCCAGCGCGGATACGGCGAGCAGCAGCGGGGCACACACCCACGCAGAGCTGCTGAGGCTGCCGTCGCTTTCGCGAAGACGTGACGGTGCGGTGGTGGTCGTCGTGGTTGGCGCCTCTGTATTCATGGCCGTGTTAAGTGGTGCCTCTGGCGCGGTGGTTGTTGTGGTAGTCCTACTTGCAGTTGGTGCGTTTGTCGTAGTCGTCGTTTTTTGCACTGTGGAATCAACTTTTGAAATCGTTGCGGACTTATCCGCAGCACTTGTTTTCGCTGACTCAACAGACGCAACTGGTGCATCTTGACTGTTGGCATTCTCATTGGCTTTCGGAACCGTTTTTTCTTCTACTTTGTTATTGTCTTGATCCGTTGGTGTAACGACCCCTGGACCTGGGCCCTCGTTTTTACCTTCTGCCTGCCGTCCGTCCCACTTATTCCCGGTGGTGGATCGGAATTCTGAACGGATTGAGCTGGTTTATCGCTACCCTCTGTCGCGCACACGGACGGACAGCAGCACAGGGCGAGCACCAACAGGGCGCACAGCAGACGGCACGTCATCACCGTGAGTGTGGTCGTTCAGTGGTGTGGAGCTGATCTGCACAGTGAGGGGCATGGAGAGCAGCAGGGAGACGAGAGGTGCGGCAGACACACACAGAGGGCACACCACATGAGGAGAGGGCGGCAGCCAGGCATGCACCGTACGCCACACACTCCAATCCACGGCAGCAGGCACACACACACTCCTGCCGCAACAACAACACACAGATGGAGGAGGGAGAAGCAAACAGGAGCGGCACACAAGGCTCCACCGCACGCACATACGGCGAGAGCGGTCAGTCGTGTCTGCACCCCTCACGGAGGGTGCGCACACACACGAGAATAGGTGCAGCGCACACAGCAGCACAAAAGCAAAGTGACAGTAAAAGGAGAGATCCCCGCACACCACGTGGATTGTTGGTCCACGGGAAGTGATGCCAATATTCATCACAAAGCAACTTTTTATCTTGTTTTAGTTGCACGCTGCTACAGCAACGAGTGAGCAGCGCAGGGGCCGTCCGTACAAAAATGGCAATTATTCCGTCTCATGCGGGCCGTCGTGCGGGCTGAGGCAATCCCAAACAGTCGCGGTCCCTATTCCCAACGACGAGGGCATTCCCGCAGTGGATGAGGCACAGTTTCCCGTGGTCCGTCGGGGATCAGCAGCCCGTGCCGTCTGTGATGCGGCGGCGGCGGAAGAGCCTGTTCCATATTGAGTTCCCGCGGTTGTGCTTCCTGCATGTTCGGTCTGCTGGCATGATTGGCACTTTCGGTGGAGACCCGAGCGCGAGGCGCCTGTTAGGAGGACGGTGGCGCCATTGCGGCGTCCGCATGCAAGGCGTTCTTCGACCATCGGAACACAAGGCCGAAAACGCCCTCATATTGTGGACGGACGAGAAGACGCTGCCGCAGACTGGGCAGGAGAACGTCAATCCGGCGCTCGTTGGTCAACAAAGATTTGCGGTTCTCACGCGAGGTGGAGGTTCCGGAGGCAGGAGCGGGCCGATCTCCTCGGTGAGGGAGGGAAGGCGCTACCGACATAAAGGGCCGCCTGTAATCTGCAGGGCGTGCGCCATTCTACCGAAGAGTGGGCAGGAGTCGCATCGCAGTTGTGCGCGGAGCTGCGGGTCGTGGCACAACATTTGGCCGGACACAAGCAATGGAGTTTTCGCTATACCGACGATCGCCGGTAGTGGTGTTGTGTGCGCCTTCCTCTTCCTCCTGGACTTCCTTCCGGCATAACCTCTTGACGGCGGCAAGGAAGCCCACGTGCCAGATTGGGACACCCCATTGCGGGGAGGAAACTTGCAACCGCGGCTTCTTTCTCAGCGGCCTCATTGCGTGGCACACCGCAGTGCGACGGAGAGAACACGCATTCTACAGAGTGGCCTCGCTTCACCAAGAAAAGTGGCATAATCCAAATTCCTTCAGTAACGCAGTCTCGCATGACCATTGGGGCAACGCGGAGTGCCTCAATTGCCGACAGGGACTCCGTTGCCACCAGCATTCGTGTGGGCGATTGGGATGTTTCCAGACGAGGAGGTATGAGATGTCTAAAGCCATTTTTAATGGCAAGGCACTCGGCTCTCTACGAGCATGCGAGCCTGCCAGCTGCTGCACGATGGACCTCCACAGGGAGATCATTTATCTTTGTGGGGCCGTATAATAGTGCAGCGAATCCGGATGCGAGTCCAGCGGGAGATGAAGAACCGTCTGTCCATAATTCAAAATCATAATACCAGTGAGGAGTAAATAGAATCAAAAGCCGTGCGCGTAACATCGTCAGAGGCGTCTTTGGACAAAAAGTGGCTGTTAAAATTCCACTTTATTACAACTCACAGTGTCCCAGGGAATAACTCGATGTTGGGCAAGAGGAGCACGATTGTGGTTGTGGGGTACCCCAATAATGTTACATACGCGGCGCAATCCATTACCAACGGCATCTCTCGGAAGCGGGAACGATGTCGCCGCTTTCCCATGCATGGACGGCGGCATGGCCTCCAATCAGATTGCGCCACGCACGTCCTCAATATACCGGAGACGCGTGAGGCGTTCGTGCGGTGTGGGTGCGCGGAACCCAATGATCCTCCGCAGCGGTGCTGGATTTGCGGCCAGGTGGACAGAAGTATCCTTATTTGCTGCGCGTGGGCCGAGCGATGCTGTGCAGCTGTCGCGGTGCCGCGCTTCCAGGCCGTGGAGGTGAGTGGGGACCGGACACGGTGCGGTCGCCTCGCTGCCGTGGTGCAACGCACTGTGGACGCATCCAACCAGAAAGGATCGCGTGGTTTGCCGGGACGCCCCAGCCGCAGCGCCGAGCCGCAGCTGACGGCGGCGTGGCACGGTCTGCCCTGCAGCGGCGGTGACGTGCAAACCAAAATTGAGGTGTCGATCAATCGCATTGCCGAGCAGACGCACCGGGTGGAACTTGACGCGTTGGTTCCCACCGCCCAGACGATGGTCGGCAGTGTCCTCGTCGGACTGTCGGTGTGGGGCGATGCAGAACAGAGCGGACCGTTCCTGTCCGCGTCGATACTCAGACTGTGCTCGGCAGCACATGTGGCCACAAGGGACACGGCAGTTTGGCATTGCCGCAGCACAGGCACGGATGTCCGCACACAAGGCAACAAGCGTGCGGCCGTCAGCGTGAATGAACGCCGACGCAAAGTGAATGCTGTACAGGCGGCGCCGCAGACCATCCACGTGGTGGAGTGGGAGCTGCGGTCCAAGGAAGCTGCATTGTGCTTCCCCGGCTAAAGGGAGCTGCTGTCGGGAATATTCTTGGTGAGCACTCGCCCAAACGCAGCCGCCTCGCAGGTGATTGCGCTACCAGATTTGGGCGCGACGGCCCAGGCGCAGTAGCCCGCCGAGCACAGCCAGCACTCGCCCATCGTCAGCGGTGTCTAATGCAGTCGAGATGCCGATCCGTACGGCGAGAGAGCGGTGACGGCGACTGTGCAGCGCGGGACGCCCCTGCGACACTCGCACTCGCTTAGCCCTCGTGCCGCTTCTTCACTGACAGGCGGCGGTGGACCAGTCCTTCGCTCTCCCCTAGCAGGGCAGAGAGCAGCGGGATTGGCCAACAACTCCCTCCGTGCGGCATGTGTCCTTCCCGTATTTGCAGATGGGAGTGGTGTCCCACTTTTCCCGGGAAATTCGCAGGCTGCCGTCAGCGAGGGAGGTATTGATCATCGCTCTGTGCGAGGAGCGGGCAGCGGGTGCAAGATGGCACAGAAACACATTCAGTGCGCCGCCGCGGCCAGGGGCCAAGCAAGGCAAACAGTGACGGATGGTGAATTCAAGCGCATACGGCGTGAAGGACCCATCCATATCACAGTCACCAGGGGACACGCAAGCACAAAGTGTGCGGACAGCACTGGGGATCGCAGCGCGTGCGACTCGGACAGTGTGACGGACAAGCAAATTTTCCTGCTGCCAAGACAGAGCACAAACGCGGTCCCAACAGTACCGCGGCACGGCCGATGCCAGAGGGCAGGGACGCGGTGCCTCCATGCCTCGCGGCATCACAGGCCTGGGCTCGAGAGGGCACCAAGCTCCTTCGCACGGACCACAAGCAGCACGGAGAAGTTACGGCAGAGGGCATGATTGCGGTACTCCCGTTTGCGGACATCTTCAGCTCGGGGCAGGATGCCTCCCGGTGAGGCTGTGTGCGCGTCCCATGCTGCCGCTGCAACACACTCGGCCTGCTCCACTCTGACCGTCCAGGTTCATCAGTGGCTGTCACGGCTGCCGCGCGGGATGGTGCGCCTTGCCGCTCGCACGGTGCATATCCAACCATGTGGTCACAGTGGCCAGAGGCGTTGCACACACCGAGGTGGAAGCATTCCAGTCGGCTTCACGCAGAACAGCGACGGCATGTTTCCGTCGCGGCAGCATGCCTGCCGGTCGCGGGAGGCCGTCCTCCGTCCCCGCAGTGTGGGATGGCAGATGGTAGTCCGAGTCCATGCAAAGGGGTGGATGTCCAGTGGGAGACACGCAGTACGCGTTGCGCAGTCACGTCGGGAAACGAGACAATGCGGCCGCTGATCCGCGCTGGCTGTGCCGGGTCGTCGGACAGCTCACACTCCATGCCGCTTGAGGTGGCGGCGAGGTTCTCTCCTGCCGTCGTTGATCGTGAGCGACCGTCCCGCAGCTCATGGTGCGAATTCAGGTAGCCCGCAATAGGCGCTGCAGGACCAAGACGAAAAATGGTGCCCGCAAACTGGGCAGCGTGAGCGATTTCCAGAAAAAGGCCGCAGAGGTTCACCACGTACATGCTGGGGCTGGCCGGTGGGCACACGCGGAAGGCAGTCGTCTCCAGGCAGTTGGTGCCACGAGCGGCAGGCACTCGCACAGCAAGGTGTGGCGCACCAAGAGGGCCACGCCACCGGCACGCCCACTGCAGGCCTGGCGGAAGTCACCGCAGCCAACGCGCCGCGTCGCTGGGGCGCCCTGCTGCCTGCACTCCTGCAGAAGAACCATGCCGGGATGGTGCTACGCCAGTCGAACGGCAAGGGCAATCCTGAAGGGCGAAGGGCTGGAAGTTCTGAGTTGCCAGACAACTACGGGGCCATCCTAATCTCCTCATCGGGGCTGCGGCTCCTGCGGACACCACCGCAGCGGGTGATGCCGATGGAGTGACTGCAATGAAACTACTGTGCGCTTCTGTCAGTCAAGCTGCAGGCAAACCGCCTCGCCGCTCCACAACCAACAGAGCGTGGGACCTTCTCGAGGGGTGACGCCGCCGTGGTCCCCGTCACGCTCGCAGCAATGCCCTGCCGCAATCACCCCCGCAGAGAGACAGGGAAGAGTGTGTGGATGTGTGTCGAGAGCACAGCGACCGTCCTCGCCAGAGAAGGCCATCGTGGCACCGTCCGTCACGCACCGGCACACACCGAGCAACGCACGCACCCGGCAGAGCAAAAACAACAAGGAGAGAAGAATGCCCCAAGAGCAGGCAACACCTTCATGGCGGGCATCGTGCAGCCGCGTCGGCCGGCCTCCAGCAAAATAGAAAAAGCATTCCTGTAGTGCACTGCGCAAATAATTATGTGTGCTGGAGGAGCAGAAGAAAAGAGGAGCACAGGAAGGCACATCAGCACAGCAAGAGGCACAACTGGATGGCAGCGACACATGCGGCACGGCCCACACTCAACAATCACGCACGGTGGCAGCACACGCCCATCCAGAGAAAAGAAAAGAAAAACACGGCGGCAAGGTGTGGCTGTGTGTGTGGCGCTGCGGGTGTCTGCCGGCCCTGGCCGCAAAGAAAACAAAACAAGAGGGAAGAAATGTGTGCTCCGCCCCACAGGCCCTCGTCGCACGCCCACACGTCACGGCTCCCTCAGCGCGCCGTTCGTCGCGGCCCCTCCTCATGCATGCAGCAGGCGAGGCGCACAGGGCCGTCGTCATGAGCGTGTCGGTGGGTGTGCGAGTGGAGCCGTTGGGCGGAAACACACGGCACCCCTCGCAGAAAGAGTGCAGCAACAAACAATTAAAGAGGGAAGAGTAGAAAAGAAAAAAACGTCCATAGCGATTGCCCCCAAAAGAAAAAAAAAGGATGGTTTAGTAAAATATATAAACGCTCATAGAGGAAGCAAATTAAAAAAATTAAATTTACAAAAACAGAAACAGTTACGGTGCTCCGCCCATGCGGCCAGGCAGGACGGCAGCGGTGCGTGTCGTGCAAAAGAGAGCACCAACGGGCCTGCATGGGTGTGCATGCATATATACAATGGGCACATTATGTGTGTGCCTCGTGGGGTGAGGTGAGGGCGAGAGTCCATGCAAGGGGACACACACACAGAGAGAGAAGGAAGAGTGTGTGTGCGGGCGGTGCACGGCTCTCTCTCTCTCTCTCACGCGGCCACCACCGCAGCAGCAGCCGCACACGCAACAACAAGAAGAAGAAGCAAAAGGGGGGAGGTGGCGTGGGAGACCGCGGTGCTGCCGTCACTGTCGCCTGTATCTGCGGTGGCATTTGTACGAAGGGCGTTTTTATCTTTCGCGGATTCTTCGCCACTTTCCGCGGGGTGTTCATGCTGTTGATGTTGTTGGACTTGTGTTTCATCACTTTTCTGCTGCTTTTCATTTTCCTCTTCTTCTTCCCGCCCTTTGTGTTCAGTACCGGATGTTTTTCCTGCCGGTATTTCGGGAGGCGAGGAGTTGTGAGCCGCTGCTGCAGACGACTGATCTCCTGTTGAAGAGTCCCCTGTTGTGTTAGATGGATTAGTGCCTGAGGACCCCGCTTCACCACCACTGCTGCCAGCTGAAGTATCAACAACAGTAGCCCCTGGAACAGCAGCAGAAGTACCACCGGTGACTTGACCACCAGTAGGAGAAACGCCACCGCCCCCACCGCCTCCACCACCAGGAGCCCCGGCAGCGCCAGCAGAAGAAGAAACATCACCGGTGCCTTGATCTCCAGTAGGAGTTCGACTGCTTCCTCCGGAACCAGAACTGCCTCCACCAGGAAAAGCACCAGACTCGAGATTCTCACTTGAATTCGAATTGTTCTGTGTACTACCAGTAGAAGTTCCACTGCCACCAGGAGAAGCACCAGCAGGTCCACCAACAGAAGAACCACCAACAGGAGCCCCTGGACCACCAACAGAAGGAGGAGCAACAGCACCAGAAGAAGCAGCAGAAACTCCAGCAACACCACCAGGACCAGTAACAGCAGAACCAGAAGCACCAGCGTCGGAAGTCTTACTTGAATTCGAATTGTTCGGTGTTGCAACAGCATTATCTTCTTCAGTCGAGGCTTCAACGGCAGCAATGGGCAGTACTGACCGCAAAGGCACCGTAATCGCAGTTTTATTACATCCGTCAGGCATGTGGGATCCATTCTCACCCAACACTCCCGACGCCATGCAGCCACCCAGTGCGTTGGTGTCAACGTCCCTCGCATAAACACCGCCGGCAACGCACCACAGCACGCAGAGGGCACACACCAGCGGCACACGGCCAGTCATCATCATCGCCATCACTCCTGTCACTTGCGTGCAGCCTTCAGCACAAACTAACTCCCCGTCAAAGCAGAGTGAAAGCAAAAGGAGACACGGCACAGTAAAATACACCAGCAGCAGCAGCACGCATTTCATGAGAAATATTGAACCAATGAAAGTGAAAAAAGACACAATGCGCTGCAAGTAAAGAAAAGCACAGAAAACAAGGAAAAACAAAAGTGAACAGGCAGCAATAAAGTAAAACAGTAAAAACACACACAAAAAAGAGCTGCACAGTATGGCTCCAGCGCGCACGCCTCTATCCTCAACAGTGTGTCCACGCAAGGCTCCGCTGCGCATGCAAACGAGTGTGCCTGAGACGCGTTCAACGTGACGGATGTGGCGCACAGCACGGAGCACACAGCAGGGCAGCGGAAGCAAAAGAAGCAAAAAACACAATCATCATAATTGCTCTTACTTTATACATCGGACCACAGTGGACACACACATAAATCCCCGCTGTTGAGTGCTGGCACGCACAGCCCGTATGCACCTCTTCAGCCCACAGCGGTGTACGCCAGCGCGGATACGGCGAGCACCAGCGGGGCACACACCCACGCAGAGCTGCTGAGGCTGCCGTCGCTTTCGCGAAGACGTGACGGTGCGCGGGTGGTCGTCGTGGTTGGCGCCTCTGTATTCATCGCCGTGTTAAGTAGTGCCTCTGGCGCGGTGGTTGTTGTGGTAGTCGTTGTAGTGGTTGACGCAGTGGCATCGCTACCTGATACCTTCATTACGGCAGTCACATTTGTTGGCTGCTGCGCATCGACTTTACCTGTCACTTCCAAACTAAGGGGCCTCTCTTTCGCTTTGTTTGCTGACTCAGTGCCCCCAGTAGGTGGCTGCTCCGGATTGGTTGTAATTTGTCCCACCGCAGTAACGGGTGCACCATCGTGTGTCTGTGGCGCGCTGTGAAATTCTAGTGTCTCTTCCTTATCACTCGTCGGATTGGACGTCTGACCCGCATATTTCTGGCTTCCTCCCTTCAGATTGTCAGGCGTCCCTGAAGTCTGTTCCGTCTCGACTGTTGCCTTTGGCGCAAGGGTGTCTGAACCTGCAACATCCTGATCCTCACCATCGACAGTTGTCCCGCACACACGGAAGGGCGGCAGAACAGGGCGAGCACCAACAGGGCGCACAGCAGACGGCACGTCATCAATGTGAGTGTGGTCGTTCAGTGGTGTGGAGCTGATCTGCACAGTGAGGGGCATGGAGAGCAGCAGGGAGACGAGAGGTGCGGCAGACACACAGAGAGGGCACAACACATGAGGAGAAGTCAGCAGCCAGGCATGCACCGTACGCCGCACACCGCGCACGACACACACTCCAATCCACGGCAGCAGGCACACACACACTCCTGCCGCAACAACAACACACAGATGGAGGAGGGAGAAGCAAACAGGAGCGGCACACAAGGCTCCACCGCACGCACATACGGCGAGAGCGGTCCGTCGCGTCGGCACCCCTCACGGAGGGTGCGCACACACACGAGAATAGGTGCAGCGCACACAGCAGCACAAAAGCAAAGTGACAGTAAAAGGAGAGATCCCCGCACACCACGTGGATTGTTGGTCCACGGGAAGTGATGCCAATATTCATCACAAAGCAACTTTTTATCTTGTTTTAGTTGCACGCTGCTACAGCAACGAGTGAGCAGCGCAGGGGCCGTCCGTACAAAAATGGCAATTATTCCGTCTCATACGGGCCGTCGTGCGGGCTGAGGCAATCCCAAACAGTCGCGGTCCCTATTCCCAACGACGGGGCATTCCCGCAGTGGATGATGCGGAGTCTCCCGTGGTCCGTCGGGGATCAGCAGCCCGTGCCGTCTGTGATGCGGCGGTGGTGGGAGAGCCTGTTCCATATTGAGTTCCCGCGGTTGTGCTTCCTGCATGTTCGGTCTGCTGGCATGATTGGCACTTTCGGTGGAGACCCGAGCGCGAGGCGCCTGTTAGGAGGACGGTGGCGCCATTGCGGCGTCCGCATGCAAGGCGTTCTTCGACCATCGGAACACAAGGCCGAAAACGCCCTCATATTGTGGACGGACGAGAAGACGCTGCCGCAGACTGGGCAGGAGAACGTCAATCCGGCGCTCGTTGGTCAACAAAGATTTGCGGTTCTCACGCGAGGTGGAGGTTCCGGAGGCAGGAGCGGGCCGATCTCCTCGGTGTGGGAGGGAAGGCGCTACCGACGTAAGGGTCGCCCGTAATCTGCAGGGCGTGCGCCATTCTACCGAAGAGTGGGCAGGAGTCGCATCGCAGTTGTGCGCGGAGCTGCGGGTCGTGGCACAACATTTGGCCGGACACAAGCAATGGAGTTTTCGCTATACCGACGATCGCCGGTAGTGGTGTTGTGTGCGCCTTCCTCTTCCTCCTGGACTTCCTTCCGGCATAACCTCTTGACGGCGGCAAGGAAGCCCACGTGCCAGATTGGGACACCCCATTGCGGGGAGGAAACTTGCAACCGCGGCTTCTTTCTCAGCGGCCTCATTGCGTGGCACACCGCAGTGCGACGGAGAGAACACGCATTCTACAGAGTGGCCTCGCTTCACCAAGAAAAGTGGCATAATCCAAATTCCTTTGGTAACGCGGTCTCGCATGACCATTGGGGCAACGCGGAGTGCCTCAATTGCCGACAGGGACTCCGTTGCCACCAGCATTCGTGTGGGCGATTGGGATGTTTCCAGGCGGGGAGTTATGAGATGTCTAAAGCCATTTTTAATGGCAAGGCACTCGGCTCTCTACGAGCATGCGAGCCTGCCAGCTGCTGCACGATGGACCTCCACAGGGAGATCATTTATCTTTGTGGGGCCGTATAATAGTGCAGCGAATCCGGATGCGAGTCCAGCGGGAGATGAAGAACCGTCTGTCCATAATTCAAAATCATAATACCAGTGAGGAGTAAATAGAATCAAAAGCCGTGCGCATGACATCATCAGAGGCGTCTTTGGACAAAAAGTGGCTGTTAAAATCTCGCTTTATTACAACGCACAGTGTCCCAGGGAATAATTCGATCTTGGGCAAGAGGAGCACGATTGTGGTTGTGGGGCATCCCAATAATGTTACATACGCATCGTAATTCATTAATAACGGCATCTCTCGGAAGCGGTATTGGAGTTGCCGCTTTATTATGCATGGACGGAGGCATGGATTCCGAATAGATAAGAGAACGCAAATCCTCGTAATCATGGAGGCGTATATAGCGTTCGTATTGTGTGAGCGCAAAAGGCCAGAGTGTCTTCCGGAGCGGGGAGGATTAGCCTTCAAGTATACCGATGCATCTTCCGTTGGCGCGTTAATGCCAAGGGATGTTTTACAGCCTTTGCGATACCGTACTTCCATATTATGGAGGTAGGTGGGGACAAGGCATGGGACAATTGCATCGCCACAATACAGTGACACGCTATGAAGGTATCCAAACAAAAAGGATTGCATAATGTGATGGGGCGCTCCTATCTGTGCGATCAGACGCAATTTGTAACGGCGTGGCATGGTCCGCTTTGCAGCGGTGGAAGCGTGCGTACCAAAGTTAAGAAGTTGATCCATCGTTGTGCCCGGAAAGCGCACTGGGCATGACTGAATGCGTAGTTTCCCATTGCCAAGATGGAGATTGGCCATGCCATCGTCAGACCGTGTGTGTCTGAAGAGGTGTGGAATAGAGCGGATTCACTCTTACCGACGTTGATTTTTAGGCTGTGCTCGGCAGTCCATGTCGATACAAGGGAAAGGGCAAGTCGCATTGCCGCAGCACATGCATGGGTGCCCGCACCTGAGGCAACAAGTGCGAGGTCGTCAGCGTACATGAGTGCGGAGGCAGAATACATGTCCTCCAGGCGGCACAGCAGATCATCCACAGTAGAGGGAGAGTTGGGGTGGCAGGACGCTGCCTTGCGGTGCTCCAGCTGAGGCGAGTTGTTTCCGGGAGTGCTGTTCACGAGCGCATGCCATAACATAGCGGCCCCGCAGGTAGTTATGCAGCCAGCGTTTGGTTCGTGGCCAAGGCGCGGAAGTCCGTCGAGCATTCCAAATAAGTTCCCATGGCCAACAGTGTCGAACGCAGTCGAAAAATCAATCGAGACTACGAGCGATGGCGACGAGGGTGTCGTGTGGAGGCGCTGCCTCCAGGGCGCGCATACTCCACAGTGCTGAACTCATTCAATCCAGGCTAGTCTTCTGGGCCACTGGCCGGATCCTGAAATTATCTCAGGAAAGCAAAAAAGGAAGGGAAAAAGGAGGGTATCGAAGAGGCGGTTAATTGCCTCAATGTTTTCTTCTGGTAATATATATATATTCCGTTGACCGCCCACGCAGCCTTTTGAACTCAGATAGGATCTGAAATATTTATTACTTGCAAAGTGGCACAATTTGGGGTCCTCCAGCCACAAGACCCCGCCGCTCCCTTTCGCCAAGTGCTGAAGCGTAAAACACGCGACCGCGTGACATGCCGTCTGCGGGGTTTTCTGCGGACCGCACGTAGGCAAAGAATGCCTGTATTCGGCGAGAGCCCAAAAACCCATATATCTGTTGCAGCTCCCACGTCATGGCGTGTGATTTTGGGCTGCCTTTATTCGCCGCTCCTTGCAGCGAAGTGTTGTCCACCCAAACGTCCATGGTGGGTGGCAAGATGGCGGAAAAGGCCGATAAGGCCAAGCGTACCGCGCGTGTCTCGGCCTGCATGATAAGAAAAGACTTCCTCTCCCATTTCCTCCGGCAATTTTAACGTCGCCGGAGTCTGGAATGAAAACGGCTCCCCATCCATGGAGCGACGCATCCGTGATGATGGCGGCCGATGCCTTCTCCGTGGGTTTGATTTTTCGTCTACAATTATTCCCGATCATGTGTCGCAATCTCTCGTCCAAACCAACCGCTGACGGCGGAAGGTTCGCCGACGATTTCCCCAGCACAATCCCCCGGTCAAGTTCGGACAATCGTCGTCGCACTGCCTTGATGAAAAAGTAGCAGTCGCATTAACGCGTGCACAAAATG